TATTTTATTTTGTTTTGTTTGTTTTTTTTTTTTTGGGGGGGGGGGTCATTTCCACTCTGTTGCTCACTTAATTCATGCATTTGCTTGGATTATCTGTGTATATTTCATCCCATCGTTTATCCTGTCATTAGTATTCCACGGACACGGGTTTCCTGCGGCGGGCGCTCACGGGGATGTTTACTGTCGGCGCTTCCCCGCTGCCTGGCTCCCCATCATGCGCTTATTTACCACCTCCTGGTCTTCTTAATGTTCGCTGCTGGTCTATCCCCCCCCGCCCCCCACCATCAAACTTCTAGTCGGTCTGCGGAAATGATTCGCGCATGTCTTAGTTCTGGTTTCATTTCGTCGGGAAAACCGTGGCTGGCTGATCGGATCCAGACGCGCTGCGAACTTTTCCTGCTCGGTGCAGCTGCGTTGACAGCTAATGCGCAGTGATTGATGTTTAACAGGAGGGTCAAAAGCGGCGAGGTCACAGAAAATTCATCTTTGAATAACTTCGGCTGCGTTGATGCAAATGCCGCTCTGTTTGACCAAGTTGTGTGTTTTGGAGTGAAGTCGATTTTCCATGATTTTTACTCAAGTTCAGCTTTCTAAACAAAAATAGAGTGTGTGGTATTTGCGTGCATTGGCTGCATTCATTTATTGCTTGAGTGCACTAGCGTTACAATTTCATTTCTATTTAATAGAAACTCTATTCAAAATGTCATGCTTTTTTGTTTTTGTTTTCCACTATAGGTGAAGATGATTTTTCTTGTAAATCTGATTGTTTGCATGGTTGTTTGGAGGTGGAGGTGAGGGGTGGGATTGACTTTTTCCATGACTTTTTAAAGACTTTAATCAATGTTGTTGCAAATTTGTGACAGTCTCAGGCTCAGATAATAAATCCTTCTTCCAAACAAACAAATATATATATATATATAATATATATATATATATATATATATATATATATATATATATATATATATATATATATATATATATATATATATATATATTCTTAAATGTGATTTATGAGGAAAATGGAATTTCTAAAAGAAAAGAGGAAAAAATACAATAATACATGACTATTTTAGAAAACAAAACAAAACAAAAAAAACAAAAAAAAACAACAACATATTTTGGTGTCCAAGGAATATAAATTAGGAATACAAATTTCTTAAAATATTGGAACACCTGGCTCCTCGCAGACATACTGAGCTTGTTCACACTGTTGTTTCTGATGTCAAATTACAGCTTGTGGATAATGCATTTAAATTTCAATTCATAATTGGTTTTGGTGGCAGAAGATTGGACACTGGAGCTGGCAAAGGGGACAGTGGGGGCTTGTGGGGATGGCTGAACCACTAATACTGTTGATGCAGAAACTCTGTATACAATTCATTTATATGAATGAAAAAGCAAGCTTAAATGCATTTTTAATTTAATAAATGATCTGCTAAATTACATTATGAGACTATTTTTTTGATTCATTTATACTTACATAATTTTGAGAATATTTCTAAACCATTATTCTTGGCCACAGCTCCTGATATATGAGAGCAGCACAATGGATTTAAGATTCTTTTCTAACCTTTTTGTCTCCATATCTCTAACAGAGTCAATGCCCTGACCCACACCATCCAGACCCCGCCCCCTTTGGAAACTTAATTGAAGAAATGTCTTTAAAAAAAAAAAAAAACTCAT